TATCACGTTGGCTTAGTTATGTAAATCGCAAATATCCAATTTGAAGTGGGTGGCTGAACATGATTCGGTAGTCAATTTTTAAACATGCAATAATTAACGAAGAAAGCCGAAATTTAAACACAAACTACTCAGGTAAAAACCGCCTAAAAAATCGAATTCCAGAATATTTCTTTAATGGATATTTGAATTTGCGGCACTGTTCCATTTATTTCCTTACTCAAACGGAACAAATGACTGTTTATTGTCGCGTATCTATTTTTGAAACGAATTTCAAATTGTTTGCCCATCAATTTTCTCGGTTCCCTTGACCGTGAACCTTTCCACCGGAAAAACTAGGTTGAACAATCTCTAAATTATAGATAATTTGCGTGTCTGATGATTGAAGCTTTCGACTAGGCTTTGTCACGGGAAAATTAGATTTCAGCCTAATGTGATACCATAAATAACGCACTTTGTTTCTTTTCGGTCAGCAGCGCTCGTTTAATGAAATTATAACTTACTTAGTTGGAGATACTGCCAACCGAAACATTGTAAGTCAATGGGAGTCCGAATGAACAATTCAAAGATATTTTTGTCACCTCTGAAGTGGTAAGAAGAAGCTCTATATTCAAAACCTTTTCCGACGAATTTCCCATGTAACGTATGGAAAGTGAGGCAAACCGTTTAATAAAAATAAAAAAACTCAAAAAGAATAATTGAATACTTACTCATGTGTGTGTGCAAAATGTACAGTTGTTTGTTATTGTTACGGTTGTTGCTGTTCCAAAAATCTGAGCAATTTCATCTGTTGATTATATTCCCTTGCAGATAGAATATTTATTGAATATTAAAATTATTTATACACGTAAAATTAATTGGTGCACTTCTTCAGCTGTCAAGAACACACAGTAGCAGAACCAAGTGGCATGATTTCACTTCACGGCTCGTTATTATGGGATTCTTTGCAAAAAATTCGCTCCGATTTCGTGTCGATTTCAATTTACAATACGAGCAGTACCTTTATTAATAATTCCAGGGAGCTGTTAGGGAGCGGATTTCCATTTTAGGCTTTAATAAGCTCTGCTCGCAAACAAAACGCTTTCGAAAAAATAATTAGCGATTGGCGTGTGGAAAGTTGGCAGTGTTTTTTTGGATCTTCGCCCCAAAACACCGAGGCCAATTTGTGATGTTCAGCTTAACATTGATGGGGAATTTGATGACAAAACGACCGTGATAATTGTTTATTAATGCAATGTAAAGATCTGGCGAAAAAGCCGCCGGTCGAAAAAGGAAATGCTAATCCATTGAACTAGTTTTATTTCCTTTGCGAAGGAACGTATGCGATTTTATCAATGCAACCAACAGTGACTATTATTAAAGAGTTGACTGCAGATAGTATCTGTATCGCACTGCCGATACGCTAAAGCTGATAATTATTTAAAATAAACCTCTTCTATTATTTATGACTTTCAGATTTCAAGAAAAGGATAAAACAGTTATGAAAGCTGGTGCGAAGCCTTGTATGAACCATTTGAACTCTTTATGTGAAAAAACGATTACGGTTTAACATGTGTAAATAATATTTTTTTCTCGGTTAAAATCGAACAGGTTAATGGACGGTAATGTGGATGTTTAAGTTGAATGTGAATCGACTTGTCAAGACCATTGTCCCCAAATTATAGAGCTCAGCCTGTTAGGAAAATAACCGTCGAAAAAAATTTATATGCGAACGTAATAAATCGTGTGAAAAACGGGAAACACTTGATATTTTATTCAGCGTTATTTTGTTTCCGCTGTTACGCACCTTTTATGTATGGCGGCCGAACACAGGCTGACCGACCTCAGCTGGTCGTTAAACCACCAAATAAGTGATTAAAATTTCAAATTACTAGGTCGAGTTATCACATGTGATGCAGATCTAAATAACTTGCTATTATTGTTATTTATTAGGCTTTTCAGTTGTGAACAAGCGTAGCAACGATCCAAGAGCTGCAGATGGAATCGAAAGATTATGGAATTAACCACGCATTTCTTTGGTAAAGCTCCGTAACATTTTCGAATATTTTTGAGTTTTTTTATAGTCAGTACAGAGTTTGAACAAATTTCCCGGTTAAACTGCGCTAAAACCAGCTACGCGGTTATCTATGTGTATCTATCTATAATTATATACAAACAAGATACTAAAATACCCTCAGCACTGCAGAAATGCAATTACAACAATAATATTTGTCAGAGCCAAGGTTTAGTCACGATATTTACAACAATGATAATTGAAATTAATTGGACGAACGAAAAAAACTAGATGCAATATAAGCCAAGTATTTGCATAAGCACTCATAAGCTTTGCTAAGACCATAAATTACAAATTACTTCACGTTTGCTCCCGGCGAAATTATTCATTTATTTTTCAGGAAAACATATAATTTACTATAAAGCGATCAATAGATATGGACAGTTTTAGGCGGGTTGTAATGCGAAGATAAATTGCCCAGTGATCAGGAGTCAAATATAGAATTTTCCTTGCTGGAGTGCGGTAAAAATGCTTTAACGCATGCAATGGCAGCGGAAACTACTTCTTTATCGCACTAGGGCGATAAAATGTTCACGGGAGTTTAGACAAAGTTACAGAGGAATGGGAAATTTGTATTCCTCGATCCGGAAAACCCGCACACACATTTTTTCTGTGCTGAAAAAGGAAAATGTTATTTGCGTTTTGACATCCTGCACCTCAGAATTTATTATTATTTGCTATTATTTTACTATTATTTGTACTGTGTAAACCATCACTTTTCTCACTCACTAGTGAACTAAAGAGCGATTACAAACATTAATACGAAGCAAATGAATAAAATAAAGAACCCTCTTGAAAATACTGACCCTATTGGTTCGGTGTGTGATTTCCGTTTAAAGTTCGCGAGTAAAAAAGCGTTACAGATACAGTGTAAACCTTGGAGTCGTAAAGAACGGGGTGGCAAAAAATTGGACAATTAAGCGTGATAAAATGTGTCAGCAACATTCAAACTAACAAATTTATACCGGGTCGTAAAAATTTTTATTAGAAACCGTAATGTCCGTGAGAAAACAACCACATTTCCTACTTGAGCGTTTCAAAGGGCCTTGTGCCAAATTTATATTGACACATAATTGTATGCGGAGCTCACCCTCCCTTTTTGTACCCGCTCGAATATGTAGAGGTTTTGTAGGGCCTTATCCAACGGTTACTCGCTGTTTTATTAAACAGATTTGCATATATATTTGTTTATTAATGCCCGAAACTGTAGTTTTCCGAAATTAATTTAATCAAATTAGGCGGATTAAGGCGTCGAATATATTGGACATGTTGGCTACCCGTCCCCTGAACCGCTTGAGTGTTTCTGGGATTATTTCCGTGAACCTTTGGAGAAAAGTTGCGATGGTTTTGCGTCAAAAAGTACTCCCGATTATCCCTACAGGAAAAATTAATTCCCACAGCGGTAAAAGGGTGATGATAATAATATGATACCTCTAAACTGGAATGGTTGAGTTACAAATAATCCCCAAAAGCTAGGACACAATGCAAGAAATAAAACACCATCATTTAGGTCACTCTCTTTGACCAGTTGGTTCACTCTTCAGGGAACCCATCCATTCGTGAAAAATCACCATTACTTCGCCGTCATAGTCTTTAACATATTTTAGGTTGGCCTAATTTTGCATAATGCCCCACCCAAAAGGTCCGAGTAGATGAAAGGGCCCCTTTTCCTCGACGTTACGTGAAATAATAAGTATAACGTATGAGCCTGCTCAGTTGGGGGCCCACGTATACAAGCTGGGGTTCGATAAAATCCTCTTATAAATCCATTAATGTATAACATAGATTTGTGAGAGTTTTTTAAACATGATTGCGGCCCGAGTGCTTCTCACATCTGTTCATATTTGTTTCAGCCTTCTTTTTTGATTGTGCCAGGTTTAGCGTGTTGCTCACATGGAGCATGCGATGCGATCCATTCAATATCATCAGATCAACATTTTGAGCAGAAAATGTTGTGCAAATCAGTGAAGAAAGTGATCGGACATATAAGGAGGATTGTGAAAAGTTTGAAAGATTGCAAAATTGCAACTGTTCCACGAAAACTTGCGCTTATTGTCAAAGTTAGGGAAGATTATTACAAACGCGGATATAAGGCAGCATTGTGTTGTTAAAGCACTGAGAAATCATTGAATTATTTGGGATTTGATATTTCTTCATTGAAGAAGTCACAAAGGGAGATTATACTTACAAATGTGGATGCACGAAATCACTATCAAATGCCTTTGATAGATCATACAAAAACTAACGGCCGCAACTTCTTGTTATTAGAACCGCCAAATTACACACACAATGGCCTTATGGGCATGCACGTTTCTTCTCATGGATCGAATAAATCAACATGTTTACGACCACATAAATTTCGATGAGTGAATACTTGGTGACACTTTTAATACCGTCAATCTCATCGGTTATACTTTGTAATTTTAGAAGGTTAACATTGTGCTGGGCTTCAGTTGTTCCTCCAGTCGTAAAAGTACTTTTGTCATGCAGAAAATGGCCCTTGAGCAAATGTGGTTTTTGTGAACGGTGTGAATCATAAGGTTCATGTTCCTTAATCCTTAATCAGCCTTTATGGATTTTGCAAATGCAAAATCAAAAGTTGGTTTGGTTTGCAAAAGCCGACACAAGAGCTAATTTAAATAATTGGAATTGAGCTTTTTACTGACTTAAAATGAACAAAGTTATGAGCGAATTATGAAACATACAAAACTGTCAGGCATGAGCTGAAACTTTTCCAATTAGTTTAAGTTTAAAGTCATGTATATTTTTAGTTTATGAGAGTTTTCACGTGTGAGTCCAATGTAACTAAATGGGAATATATTATTTATATGTGGTGAGAGCTTCAGGGCGATCAAGTTGATTTTAACAGTCTCTACGGGTGAAAACTTTTCACATTTGCAAATAGTCGAAATGGACTTTCAAACAGACAAATCAACGTTTTTAATGGACAATGTTCAACGTTTTGTCAAAGAAACTTGAGGTAAATAAACCACTGGCTGCGATCTCACGCTGCCCGCTAGAAGTGGTCAAATAAATACGTTTGTCTCAACTTTTTATTCTTTATTTCCAACCCAAATGTTCAGAAGTAAAAATGCCAACCAATTAATTCCAAAGGTTAGCATCATAAATCGTCTGAAAACATCAAGAAAGCCGACAACAAGACTGCAGTGAGAACAGGCTAATTAATTAATTCAAAACATTCTCAAACAATATCTTATGGCGGAATTTTAATAAATTCTCCACCTACCGGTCTATTTCTCAGTTTTTCCTTCAGTCTAGTATAATTTGATTAGAAGGTGATTTTATTGCCGATAAAACCCGAGGAAGGCGAGCCTCAACTTGCTCATCCCTATTATACTAGAAAATTATTGCCGGCGTTTTTTATGGTGTTTAGAAAATATTCCTGTAAAAACGATATAAAGAACCATTAAACGATACGCGTCTTGATTTAAGTAGGTGTGTTCCTAGATTAATCGTTTCAATGTTATAATTTAAATTCATTTTATTATGGAGGATTAAACTAGGTGGCGATCGTGCATGTTTTAAATTAGAATTTACGTACTTTTTAAGCACCATTAAACTATTTTCATTTCTTTCTATTGCTCCATTTTCTTTAGCAGTCCTCATAACGAGTAGAAAAATTAAAAAATTCATAAAACTCGATCGAAAAGTGCCTGTCAAATGCAACATTTTCCGAAGGAAACCTTCCAATCCTGTTAAATCATGCAGACATGTCCAGGCAAAAAGACACACACATTTCCGTTGAGTTTTAGCGAAAGTCTGACTTGTAGGACTCGAATCGGAAAAGCTTTTTGGTGGAGAACTTACTTATTAAAAACTATGCCAACTAATCCCCCTGAAAGCGCAAAACAACCCTCCATCACAACCGTCCAGCCGACTGAAAGGTTATTTCGCCTTAATAAAAGCCTGATTAAAATTTATAGCTTTCAACTTAAATCAGATAATTTTCGTGAATATAAAGTGCTAAAGCCAGCTCAACAATCCCGACTAATAAAAAATGAGCGAACAAAACCGAAAGCGGCCAGGGGGCTCGAAATCCTGTTAATAAAAATTGTGTTTTTTCCAGCACCGGCAGTTTCTACTGTTAAACCACCCCTAGTACCCTTTCAACAACTTTTTTACACATGCTTTGAAACTCTACAAGGGCATTTTACAAAGTAAACTTATGTTGAGCGATTTTTTTTTCGATGAATTTTTTTCCTTATGAAATTTTCGGTCAAAACTGAAAAATTTTCATGCGTGTTTTTTTGAGCTGCATGGATTGTTTCCAACCTAAGTGGCTGCCTTATGTCGGTTAAAGATCGTGATGGCTCAAAGACCGCTAAAAATGGACCAAAAAGTCGATTATTTTGGGTTTAAAGCTTCTAGCGTGTTTCTCAATAAGCTGATTGCATTCGTCGCTTGTTTAAGAAGAAAATTATGTAAAATTTCCACGTTTTTGAGAAATTTTTAAATTTTCGGTCAAAAATCAGAATTTTACATGCTGGTTTTTCAAGCTGAATGGATTGCTTCCACGCTAATAAGCTGCCTTATGTACATATGTGATGTGTTTCGGTAGATAATAAGGAAAATATTGTCGGTTAAAGATCGTGATGGCTCAAAAACCGCTCAAAATGGACCAAAAAGTCGATTATTTTGGGTTTAAAGCTTCTAGCGTGTTTTCCAATAAGCTGATTGCATTCGTCGCTTGCTTACAAAGAAAATTGTGTCAAATTTCAAGGTATTTGAAAAATTTGAAAAATTTTGAAAGAATCGACCTCTACCCCTTATGAAATTTTCGGTCAAAAATCAAAATTTTACATGCTGGTTTTTCAACCTGAATGGATTGCTTCCAACCTAATAAGC